TGAGTTCCACACAATTTCTTCAAGTTGTCCCAACACAAATTGATTAGGTTAACTTAATCGTTTTACACATTAAATTGGACTAAACATAAAACAATTAAGTTGTTTCAAAAAACGTAAGAATTGTTTTGTTTCAACTTATTTTAGATAATAGATATATACACTAGATATCACATAGGGACCCTGAGCATGCGTCAATAGCGCCGCCATATTTGTACAGTGCTCCCAGGACAAATGTTATTCAAACGCACTAGTCAAGACAGTGTTATTACGTGAAGATGCTGGACTTTAGCGCTGTCTACGGGTGTAATAATGAGCAAACAAAGAAAACAAAGCACAAAGGCAGAACATTTCATTGGTAATATTAAGTTTTTTTCTATTTTTGTATTATATTAACTTTTGTGCTTATCAGGTAACTTTATTGATCGGCAAAGCAGCTCCAACTCGCATTAAACACTTGGCTTATGCTAGTTTTGTTGAATAAAATCAGCAAACAATGCAAAAGAAATATGACAACGAGATGCTGCGCTGCCAGAAACTTGTATTATTTTCGGCTAACGTTAGTGAAAGAGTCGTTCATCACGGAGATTCATTCACAAACGAATCGCTCCCTCCGTCTGTATGAGAAGTGAAAGCAGGAGAGGAGGTGTGTTTCAGGACATGATAAAATCAAATTTAACAGGGAGGGTAAATAGTACATTTCTTTACACACAAACACAAGCTTTTTGTCAGGAATGCCCGTGCGGTCACTGATCCATCAATGTAGAAAAGTGATGTAAAATTATAATTTTCATAATTAGAAAAAAAAAATTACATACTAACATCCAGGAAAACTCCCGATCATAGATATATGTGTATATTTCTGGCTTTGGATGGCCACAGTCCTCCACTGTACCTTGGTCACGCATTCATTTCAAAGGAGTGCTCCCCTGTACCAAGATGGCGGCGCTATTGACGCATTCCGTCCAGTAGACAACAATAGGCCAGGCGACATCTAATGTATTTATCTATGATTTTAGATAAGTTGTTTAAACAAGCAGCAAAAGTCATTATGTGTAGCATGTTGACCTTATTCTAAAATGAGGACGTGCGCCTGTTTTCGCGATTGTCTTAGAACTTCCGATTCAGTCGCCTATGGGAGAAATGACTAGGAATAATAAACGGCAGAAAATGGTCAAACTACTTGCTCTACAAACAAATGTTTGCATGACTACACAGACCAAGTAGAATAATATAATAAGAAAATATCAAATTGCAATATCAAGCAGCGTAACAAGGAGTTTTTAACGTCAAAAAATGAATGGAAGTGAATGAGAGCGGAAGTCTCGAGCCAAAAAGATTCAAATGGCAGCGCCCGCTCGTCGGCGGAGAATAAGGTGAAAACAGTATATTGCAATAAACAACCTGCCCAAAGAAAGGAACTGATAGAAAAATATCTGAAAGAACTAGCAAGAGTTCTGACATTCAGTTTCATAGCAAGTACAGCTCATCACAACTCATTCCTATCTCAAAATATAGAGAAATGTGCAAAAAGTGTTGCCACTCCTGCAAATCCGTCCACAGCTGCTTACAGGTTTTGGATGGTGAGGCACAAAACGCTCAAAGCACAACTATTCAGAGCTTTGCGCAGAGACAGCAGCACTTTTGAAATGTCATTTTGTGATGTTTCTGAAAGGTTCCTGGTGCGATACACATTTCTCAGAGGTGCACTGTGAATTTCAGATTAGTCACTGACAACACAACAAAAGACAAAGAGAGAGAACACAATCATCATACGACGCATTCACATTCATGTCATGTTTCATCTCTTCACAGGAGACCGATCTGCAGGTGGCGTAAATTAAACCAATATTTGTTTTTACAGAGGTCTTGATGTTCTGCACTTATATGCTGTACCTGCCTCCTGCTCCAGCAGACCGAGACCGTCTGAACACTTACTTCAAAAATACGGACAATATGCTAATCTAAACGTGGATATCTTTTCTTTGAGAATTTCATCAAATACACTTTGAATTGCATTCAAAGCTTATGTTTTATCATTTTAATGCATTACCTGGGAATCAAACTGTGCGGTTGGAAGCATTATGTAGATGTAGGAACATACCGTACAGCTGAAGACAAAATTATTAGCCCTCCAATGAATTGTTGTATTCCTTATTTAGTGCTGTTTATTTATTCATTCATTTTCCTTCAGCTTAGCACCTTATTTATCAGAGGTCGCCACAGCGGAATGAACCACCAACTGTTTCGGCATTTGTTTAACACAGCTGATGGCCTTCCAGCAACCACAACCCAGTACTAGAAAACACCCATACACTCTCGCACACACTCATACAGTACAGCCAATTTTGTTTACCCAATTCACCTATAGCGCATGTCTTTGGACTGTGGTGGAAACCAGCACACTCGATGAAATCCCACATGAACACTGGGAGAACATGCACACTCCACACAAAAAATGCCAACTGGTCCAGCCAGAACTCGAACCAGTGACCTTCTTACA